TTAATGGAAGTGTGGTCATTAGTTCATAAGTAGTAGACATTTGAATTAGTAATTGCTGAGCGCTTAAGTAGGCTTAAGGACCAGGATTCCTGCCCCCCAGTGTGATGGGAGAATATAATGGTTTTAAGTGACAGACTGACTGACCTAAATTTAAAAAAGATCACTCTTTGTTGGTAACAGACTATGGCTGGGGAGGGGGAAATAGCTGATGTAAGAGATGTTGGTGAGGTGGCTGGGACCAGTGGAAACAGAAAGGAGTGGACAGATTCCGAACATATTTAGAGGTAGAGCAGCCAGGACTTAACTCATGCAGTAGCTTTGGGGACTAAGAGAATGAAGGATGACTCCCGGGAATAAGGTCAAAGCTGGGGCTATAAATTGTGAGTCGTCACTTTAAGGTGATATTTAAACTCATGGGTATGGATGGAGATCATCGAGGGAGGAAAGGTAGATCGAAAATAGGATGTAGTTTTAGGATTTTTCTTTCTCCCTATTCAAATTTAAAGTTTCTAAATTCCTGGTATCATACAGGCTACTAGATCTTAGTATTAAAAAGAAATCTAAGGTTATCTTTCTACCCACCACTCCTACCCATATATTTACTCAAATACCCCCATACAACATCCAGCCAAGTATCTAGCCCATTGGTGCATCATAAATAGGAAATGTACTACATCCATTAAGGCTTTCCAGTGTTGTTTTTCTCTCTCTTCGATATCTAACTTTTAGGTGAATCTCTCTCTCACGTTCTCCTCTCCAAAAAGGAATACTATTGAGAGTGAAAGCGGACACTATTCATAATTACACTGGGAAAGCTGTCACTTTCCTGGGCAAACCTTGCAAGCAAAAGTAACAGTACTTAGGCCATCTCTGTCTTTAGCCAGGCAACTAAAAAACCTTTAAAAGGTGAGATGCCACTTGACTCATTGGAAGATTAAGGATTTAAGAGTTAAATATCAACAAAACCATCTGCTCTAATCCCTGGCCAGCATGGCTCAGTGGTTGAGTCTTGACCTATGAACTAGGAGGTAGCGCTTCCATTCTGGGTTGGGGGGCATGCAGAAGGCAGTTAATCACCGATTCTCATCATGGAAAAGTTTTTCTCTGCCGAAACCGGTTTGCCTCAGTGGATAGAGCGTCGGCATGCGGACTGAAAGGTCCCAGGTTCGATTTCGGTCAAGGGCATGTACCTAGGTTGCGGGCACATCCCCAGTGGGGGGCGGGGGGGTACAAGAGGCAGCTGATCGATGATTCTCTCACACATCAATGTTTCTAACTATCTCCCTCTCTGTAAGAAATCAATAAAAAATATTAAAAAAAAAAAGTTTTTCCTCTACTCTCCTCTCCTCTCTGAATGCAATAAAAATATATTTTTTAAACCTCTTTCTGGTTCTGACTTTCAAGAGTCAGGTTGGTCTTTTTTACTTTTTTTTTTCTTTTCTTTTCACTATTCTTTTACATGTCATTTGATTCTCACCACACCCTGTGAGGTATCATCATTTTACAATGAAGCAAGCTAAGGTTCAGAGAGATGACTTTCCCCAAGATCACTAGCCGTGAAAAGCTAGAATGAGAACCTGAAATTGTGTCTTATTTTCTCTTGCCAATTTTCTTGTTCTTCCTGTTACTCCATACTAATCTAGGAATTGTTACTATTAAAGGTTTTAGGTCTAAATTATGTTCTTTTTCATGCAATTTCAATTCCACAGCCTCTTATTTTGTTCCCTGGCATGTAAAAAGTAGTCATTACTTCCCATCGTTAAATGAAAGCATTTTGTACATTGTTAAGGGCAAATGCACATTTGAAGGCTAGTTAGGAAATCAGCATCTTTGTTCTCCAAGTAGGGGAACTGTATTAAACTGGTAAGTGGGTGAGGGGATTACCTTTGTAGCATTTATAATAATTCTAATGTATTGTTGGCTAAATTATGGGGTTCTCTATAAAGAGAACAAGGGACTGGAAGGAATCTTGGGACTAATTCTCCAATTTGGGAACAGTGGTGGTATTCAGTGTAATGCCAAAACCTATTTGAACAGTTCAAAGAGGTATAAAGCACCTCTCCAATGTGTGTAGCTGTTTATATGGCTATCAGATCTAACAAGGATTCACTTGATTTTGGTCAGAGCCCTATTGCTCATGCACTAGGAACAGATTTTGAGAGCTTTTTTGGACTTCCTAAAAACTCCATAGGGCTTATGTGTGTGGTAACATACCTGGCAGTGCTTAAGCTTTTCTTTAACTGTGTTAATAATTGAGAACTCAATCAACAACCTCAGTACTCAATTGTTGCCTTAGCTGGTTTGGCTCAGTGAATAGAATGTCAGCCTGCAGACTAGAGGGTCCTGGGTTCGATTCCAGTCAAGGGCACATGCCCATAATTATGAACTCGATCCCTAGTAGGGGGTGTGCAGGAGGCAGCCGATCAATGATTCTTATCATTGATGTTTCTCTTGCTCTCTGGGGGAAAAATCTCTTTATATATAAAGCGATTAAAAAAATACTCAATTGTTAACTTAGAGAAAGTCCCAACTCTTCATAGCATGGCAGTTGAGGGCCTCCACAATGGTTGACAACCTACCTTTTCAATAACGCCTATTGTCAGGAATGAACACTACTGCAAATTGTTTGGCCCACTACCTCTGAACATATTTAGTTTTCCAACCTATATACCCTTTTTTTAAAAAAAATATATATTTTATTGATTTTGTACAGAGAGGAAGGGAGAGAGATAGTTAGAAACATTGATGAGAGTCATCAATCAGCTGCCTCTTGCACACCCCCTACTGGGGATATGCCCGCAACCAAGGTACATGCCCTAGACAGGAATCGAATCTGGGACCCTTCAGTCCCCAAGCCGACGCTCTATCCATTGAGCCAAACTGGTCTCGGCCCGTTTTTGTTTTTTTGTTAACCCTCACCCAAGGATATCTTTCTATTGATTTATAGAGAGTGGAAGGGATGGGGGAAGAGGAAGAGAAACATTGATGTAAGAGACACACATTGATGGTTGCCTCCTGCATGTGCTCTGATTGGGGCCAGAGATCAAACCCGCAATCCGGGTACATGCGCTTGACTGGAAATTGAACTGAAACCCTTCTGTGCATGGGCCAATGCTCTAAACACTGAGCACACTAGCCAGTGCTCCACCAGCACACCTTTCTCTTTAAATCTCCCCTAGTTACATAGCGCTAGTGTGTACTATGTAGCCATTAGTTACATAGGGCTAGTGTGTACTTGAAATGTGGCCAGTCTAAACTGAGATGCGTTACACACATCCAAATTTCAGAAATGTAGAACCCCCACATTGTAAAATATTTCACTAGCGTTTAAATATTGATTACATGTTGAAACAGTATTTTGGATATACTTGGGTTCAATTTATGAAAAATAATTTTGCATTTCTTTTTTTCACGTAATTACTAAAAAAGTTAAAAAATATTTATGTGGCTTGCATTATATTTTTAAATGGACAGTGCTCTAGATCATTAGCCTCGCCTCTTAAGCCAACACAGAACTGGACCAGCCATTCAAGCCCATCTCTGTACCTTCTCGTCTTTTGAAATAATAAACAATGAATGATAGAAAACTGGTTTCTTCCATACAGTTGAGGCAGGCATGCCCATTCTATGTTATCAAACTGAAGTTGCTATCACCAATCAGCTGACAGCTCAAGAAAGCAGACTTTCTACCAAAAGCAATAAGGTAATGAATATTCTCATTGTTAGATAACTTAAGGCATAAACACTAAAAAACTCCCAAATCTTTCAATTCTATCTTTATCTCTCATTTTTCTCCCCATTTCTGGACACTGAAATGTTAGCTCTTCCTGTAAAATTCTTTCAAATCTATTCCTTTTCTCTCAATCCATACTTAATCAGTCTACTATACTTTAAAAAAATCTAGTTTGGAAGTAGTTTACTACCTTTCCCTATATTTATGCTCATTCCATTCTACACAGTACATTCCCTATTATAAGTATTATAGTGTATATACTGCAACTAGAGTCATCTTCCATAAGTTTTTAGCAGGTATGATTTTTTGCTCGAAAACTTTCCCTTTTCCCACATAGCCTACAGGAAGAATTCTTTCATCTAGCATTCAAAGCTTTTTCAAACCTCCAATCTGTTCCTCTCTTCCATAATACATGGGCTTTAGGGAAACTAGACTGAGTTCATGTAAAGCACTTAGAATCCTGCCTCACCTATATTGTAAGAACTATATAAACCTTGGTTATTATTACTACTCATTTTTGAAGGGGTTCAATTCCAGTCAAGGGCGCATGCCTGGGTTGCAGGCTCAATCATCAGTGGGGGGCATGCAGGTGTCATTCAATGATTTTCATCATTGATGTTTCTCCCTTCCTCTCTGGAAAAAAAATAAAAAAGATTCATAGGCAACCTTCATGTGCACCTACATCCAAGAATCATTGGTATACTCGAGACAAACTTTGGGTTAAGGAGGCTGGTCATATTTGGCATATATTTTCACCATGTTCTCCTACAGCATGTGTTTGAAACAGAAACAATACAGAGAATTGTTTAGCTGTGAATGACTTATGAATCTTATGCATAGTGTTCTTAAAAACAACGCAAAGACCTCCCACCCTCTTGAGTTTGAACTGGGGAGGAGGGGGGGTCCCCAATACACTTGATATTCATCAAAAAGCTTGTCTGTTGGTTCTACTTCTATTCATTTGTAAATTTCAAAACAGAATTAAGTAAATATATATTTAACTATGTGTACAATATTTACAGCTTACAGATTCTCCAACCCGATTATCCATTTAAATCCGTAAATATGTGAAAATGTTGGCATTTTAACATGTAACACTGAGACACTTGCAAACTTTACCTCAAAAATAGTTTATACCAATTTTCCAAAGTGCTTATATTGTACTGCAACAACCTCGTCAGGTTATCAAACCTCTCCGGATGGAGTAACCGGTATAGGGAGAGACAGCACTTTTTATAGGGATTAGAAATATCAGGTCCTTGCAATCCTATAACAAAGCCCCTTTGACCCTCCAATCCTGAGACAACAAATCCTGCAGTTCTCCATCATCGTCGCTGTCAACATTCTCCTCTTCCTTTTTCTGCAGCTCTTTTATTGTCAGGATCTCCTTAAGCTTGTGTTTTATCTCATCCTGGCGATTCCGCAGTTTTTCCACCCGACGGTAACACTCGATCTGCTCGTCGATCTCCCCAATCTGCCGGTCCAACCGCCCCTCCTCGTCCTCTTCAGCCACGATGGCTTCGGAGATGGTGTTGACCTGTCTCATGGCTTTTTGAAATTCGTCCCACTCCTTGTCCATCTGATCCTTGGGGGCATCAACCTTTCGCACCCTTGCGTCTATCTCGGGGTCGTCAAAAAAACCTTCCGGTAATGCTTCCGCGGTGTTCTCCCTCCTCTCCACTATTTTCTCATGTATCTCTGCTTTCTCAATGGACCCCGAGTGAGGAATTAAAGGGGCCTTGGGAGGGTTTGCAGTCGAGAAGTCTCTGGGCAGCCCACTACCTGTTGCCTCCAGCGAGGAGGAGAGTGAGTGTTCCTTGTTGCCCTGCGTGTCGGGCGGCTGCGTGCTGGCGTCCCCCTCTGGCTTTTCTCCTCCCTTCTCCTCCTCCTCCTCTTCCTCTTCTTCCTCCTCCTCTGCATAATCAGGGAGTAACCCGAGTGCCGAGGCCTTACCGGGGGTCGCTCCAGCGGACTCCTTTCCCGCTTTGTCGGCGCCGGTGCGCAAAGCGGACGGGGAGGGCTGTGCCTGGGGCACCTGCGGGGCCTTCGGCCTTTTGGCGTCGTGGCTGTCGGGGTCCGGAGCCTTCCTCTTGGCAGACGGGGGCGCCGCGCTGGCGGACGGCCCCGGGGGGGCCTCCTTCGCGCCCTTCAGCTCGGCCACTCTCTCCCGGTGCTGCTTCCCCAGGACGTGGGTCTGCCACAGGAGCTCGCTCTTCACCGGGGTGTTGCACAGGACGCAGCTCAGCTGCCCCAGGCGGTTGTACTTCGCAAACGGAGACTCTATGCGCTTCCTGTTGGTGCTCAGGCGCTGCTTCTCCTTCATCAGCCGCCGCAGTTCATCCTGGCTCACCACTCGCTTCCCGGCCGCAGGCCGAGCCGAAGCGGAGGACGCCATCTTCGCGCCCCGACCCCCGAGGCGAGCCCGACTTCCGCCTCGGCGATGCGTGATGACGTCACTTCCGCCCCGGGGCGAAGATCGGCGGAAGCTCCTGAGCGTGGGACTTGGCGCTGGGTTTCATATCAGAATCTCGGTTCCGGCTGTTGGGGCCGGTCCGGTGGTCCCACAACCGCTTGGCCATGGCTGCCATAAAGACCTTAAACGCCAAGGCGGAGGTGGCTCGGGCCCAGGCGGCCTTGGCGGTCAATATATGCGCTGCCCGAGGGCTGCAGGATGTGCTGAGGACCAACTTGGGTCCCAAGGGCACCATGAAAATGTGAGGCGGCGGTTGGAGCGGCGGTTAGGGCGCCGGGGGTGTGTTGGCTGTCACTGTGGACACACACTTGTGGGCCTGGGGCTTCCCTCATTCTCATTCCTGCCCCGAGGTCATGTCTAGCCCAGTGTGGGGAGGAGGAAAAAAAAAACACAAAACCCAAGGAAAAGGCCTCACGAGTGAAGCTGTGATTCCCTATCCAGCTCCTTCCCTTCCCACCAACTTTTCTTTCAGGGTCATTCGCAGTTTCAAAGTCCAGTTTTTCATAGGAAACGTAAGCCATCTGACTCCCCTGCTCCTTAAGACTGGATGCCTGGATGCCCTTGGTTTTGGTGGTGGTTGGCAGCGTGCTGTGGGGAGGGCCCGGGCTTCAGAGCCTGACAGGCATGGGTTCAATTCCAAGTTTCCCTTATGTGAGGCCTTTGGCAAGTTACTTGGATGCTCTGTGCCTAGGGTTCTTCGTTAATGGATCTGTTAATCCATTCAGCATGTGTTTATTTAGCACCGTTATTTAGGACAGTGAAGGAAAGAGACTAGGGAGGGCAAAAAGATGTAAGGAGAGATACAGCCTCAGGATTGAGCCAATTTAAAAAATATATATTTTATTGATTTTTTACAGAGAGGAAGGGAGAGGGATAGAGAGCTAGAAACATCGATCAGCTGCCTCTTGCACACCTCCCACTGGGGATGTGCCCGCAACCAAGGTACAAGCCCTTGACCGGAATCGAACCTGGGACCTTTCAGTCTGCAGGTCGACACTCTATCCACTGAGCCAAACTGGTTTTGGCAGGATTGAGCAAATTAAATTAACAGTAAGAGGTGTAAGAGGAGTGATACAGCCACAGGAATGAGCAAAATAAATTAACAGTAAAAGAGGATGCTTATTATGAACTAAATGGGATGCTGAGAACACAGAGATGTCCAAGATAAAGTTTTAGTTTTTAAGGGGATTTGTTAGAAATGAATGTATATTCTATATAATGTTATATATATGTGCCATGCATTATATTTTTAGTCATATGTGATAATACCGAGGAAAGGAATAATGGGGAAGGGAAATACTCAGATAACAGATTATTTTTTTATCAGAGTCTTGAAAGATGCGTTAGAATTCACCAGCTGGAGAAGTGAGCAAAGGTCTTTTAGATAGAGCAACTTCAGGAACAAGAAAATCAATTGGTGTAAATCCAAGAGAAACAAAAAAACATACGTGATGTATTAAGGGAACCATAAGATTTGCCCACAAGATTTCATTTTGTAGATGAAACATTTTAAATAGATAAAACCAGATTGGAAAGGGTCAGCTATGTCATTGCTGAATAGTATGGATTTTACCTTGAAAATGATAGAGAACATGAACATCACTGAAGGATTTCAAAATATATATATTTCTATTGATTTCAGAGAAGAAGGGTGAGGGAAAGAGAAAGAAATATCAATGATGAGAGAATCATTGGCTGCCTCCTGCTCACCCCCTACTGGGGATGGAGCCCACCACCTCTGGCATGTGCCTTGACTGGGAATCGAACCATGACCTGCTGGTTCATAGGTCCACCCTCAGCCACCGAGCCACCCCAGCTGGGCTGAAGGATTTTTGATCAGTAAACGGAGTCATCCTGCCTTATAGAAAGATAAATGGAGGGTAGATTCAAATTCAGATATATGTGAATACTAAAGGGAGTACTTTGAGAGGCTTTTACGTTGTAGAATGACAGAATTTGATGCTGTAATAAATGAGAGGGATGAGGGATAAAACTAAACTAAGTGAATGAATGGTAAGATTTCACCAAAACAAACCTGCAGGGAATTCACAAATGTGTGGCTGGTAGACTTGCAGGTACTCTTCTGGACCAAACCACTGTCATAACTCACCAACTGCACTTAATCCTCAAACTTGTAAATTGTCCATTTGGAGTGAAATCGCCATGGCAGTCCATCTGGGGAAAAGTGATTCTGGGGGCTGCAACTGGGGCACTTACTGTGGTATCTCTCTGGATGATGGAAGCTTTCCAAGCCTGGCTGCCTATACTAATGATGGTGGAGTGGCAAGCGCTATGTCTTGCTTGACTCTTGCCATACGAAGTGAATAACATCACTGTTTTCTGAACAGGCTTGTTTCTGGTGCAGGTGATATCAAACTCACCAAAGATGGCAATGTGCTGCTTCATGAGATGGTGAGCCGACGCTGCTGAGTTTAATAAACCTTAATAAGCCTTAACTGAGCGCATAATACAATTTGTATATCTTTAAACCAAGGCTGGCAGCTAACTATTGCAATCATGAGGTATACTCGTTGGATTAAACCTCAATAAAAATGTTTCTTGGCTGTTTTCAAATCTCAGTATATAGTCTAAGTAACAGCTTAGGAATGCGTCCAAATTAGTTGAATCTTTTAAAGGCACCACATCATGTTCTTTGTAATCATGGAAAAGTAAAAAGTCCTTTGCAATTTTAGTAAATATATTTATCTTCGAAATGGAAGGATTTAACCTAATTTTGGAAATGTCATTGCATTCTGCAGCAGAGACTCTTATAAAATGTTCAAATCTCATTAGTTCTCAACTTTTTTTTTTTTTAAATATATATATTTTATTGATTTTGTACAGAGAGGAAGGGAGAGAGATAGAGAGCTAGAAACATCGATGAGAGAGAGTCATCAATCAGCTGCCTCTTGCACACCCCCAACTGGGGATATGCCCGCAACCAAGGTACATGCCCTTGACCGGAATCGAACCCGGGACCCTTCAGTCCCCAAGCCGACGCTCTATCCATTGAGCCAAACCGGTCTCGGCATAGTTCTCAACTTTTAACTCTTGATCTTGACATCTATTAAAATGTGTGAACTTGTAGAATGACGCTTATTTTATGTCTTTAAAAATATTGTTTAAAGTATTACAGATGTCTCCTTTTCTTCCCCCCTTGACCACCTTCCCCTTCCTACTCCCATCCCCTTCCCAAGCCTTCATCCTTATTTCATTTCTTGATTTTACTATTGATCCTTAGGTTATCTTGTTTTTGATAGACTATTTATTTCTTTATTCTCTCTCTCTTTAAATCTGTTGCTTGCTTTTTCCAGCAAATTCAACACCCAACAGCTTCCTTGATAGCGAAAGTAGCAACAGCACAGGATGACATTACAGGAGATGGTACTACTTCAAATGTTCTAATTATTGGGGAGTTACTTAAACAAGCTGATCGTTACATTTCCGAGGTATTATAATTTTATAGAATTCACAATCATGTGGTACTTTATTTTGAATGGAAACTTGGGTTTGTTTTTACACTAGTAAACTGGTTTAATTTTATTAAATTTTTAAAATTGATTTCAGGGAGGGATGGAAACATCAATGAGAATCATTGTTGGCTGCCTCCTGCACGCCCCCTAGTGGGGATTGAGCCCACAATCTGGGCATGTGCCCTGACCAGAATCAGACCATGAGCTCCTGATTCATGGGTTGATGCTCAACTAGTAAGCCACAATAGCTGGGCAAAAAGTGTCTATGAAGATATTTTTGGACAATTATAAATGAAAAGAATAATGAACTCCCCCCAAAAAATGCCTTTTATTGGAATTCTATATCTTTTTTTTAAATGGAAAATTTAAGAGATTTAAAAAGGTACAAAATTAGCCATGTACCCATGACTAATGCCTAAGAAAAAAATACACCACCGATAAAGTTGAAATCAAATTGTGGTTTAAAAAATAACTGGGGAAAATATTTTTAAAATGAAATTTATCAGGGTGACATTGGTTAATATGTGTCAAGTATACAATTTTGTAATACAGCATCTGTGTATTGCATTGTGTACTCACCACCCAAAGTCTAGTCTCCTTCTGTGACCATGTATTTGGCACCTCTTTACTCTCTCCATCCTCTCCCCACCATTTTCCTCTGGTAGCCACCATACTGTTGTTTGTGTTTATGAGTTTTGTTTTGTTTGTTGATTTCTGTTTTATATCACACATCTGAGTGAAATCAGTTGGTTTTTGTCCTTTTCTGTCTGACTTATTTTGTTTAGCCTGATACTCTCAAGATCCATCCATATTGTTGCAAATGGCAGTATTTTATCCTTTCTTATGGCTAAGTAGTATTCCATTTTACATATTTGTACCACATCTTTTTATTTATTTATGAAAAATTTTTTTATACCACATCTTCTCTATCCGATTATCTATTAAAGGACACTTAGTCTATTTTCATGTCTTGGCTACTGTGAATAATGTTGCAGTGAACATAGGGGTACATATATCTTTATGAATAAATTTTTTCAAAAAAAATTTTGGTAGATACCCAGAATAGGGATTGCTGGGTCATATGGTAGATCTTCATATTGCTTTCCGTTGTGGCCATAGCAGTTTATATTCTCACCAGCAATGACTGTAAGGTCCTAGACAGGAAAGATTTTTTGAAAATGGTTATTAACAGCCTCTGGAGTCAGGCTTGCTAAAGCAAATTACAATATTTTTTAAGCCTCAATTTCCTCATCTGTGAAACAGGAATAATAACAACTCCCACTTCATAGTGTCCAGAGGACTAAAATAATATATGTAAAGCTCTTTAGAATAGTGCCTGGCTCAAATGCTCAAGAAGTGGCAACTTTTAGAAATTGTTATAGGACTGATGTAAAGGAGTGGAGGAGGGGATAAATTAGATCTAGTTCCAACTTCAGTAAGTTTGTGTATTACTTTTAAAAAACTACTGTTTTTTTTATTTATTTATAAAAATACTGTTTTTTAAAAAAATATTTTAATACAATGTCAGCTCTGTAGAAAAGTTGCAAGAATGTTTCAAAGAATGACACTTGTGTTTCTCAGATAAAAAAAAAGTCTATTTGTGTGTTTATACTAATAAAAGGATAATATACAAATTGGTCACAATGCCCTCACAGTAACAACCGAACAGTAGGCTGCATGGGGTGACAAGGCCGGCATTGAGGTTAGCGAGGGACGACTAAACAACTGAGCAGCAGGCTGCGTGGGGTGACCAGGCCAGCAGGGGGGTTAGAGAGGATGAACAAATGACTGACTTGCAGGTTGGCAGGGAGATCAGTGAAGGATGAGCAGATTGGCAGAGGGGGTAGTGAGGGGCAACCAGGCCAGCAAGGAAGGAGGGAGTTGGGGGCAACCAGGCTGGGGCGGGGGAAGTTTAGGGCAACCAGGCCAGCGGGGGGAGGTAGTTAGGGGTGATCAATATGGTAGGCCGAGGCGGTAAGGGGTGATCAGGCTGGCAGGGAGGCAGTTAGGGGCAATCAGGCAGACAGACAGGGGAGCAGTTAGGAGCCTGCAGTCCCGGATTGTGAGAGGGATGTCCCAGATTGGAGAGGGTGCAGGGTGGGCTGAGGGGACCGCCTTGGCCTCTACTATGTAATAAGGTACATGTATTTTTTTCAAATGGTATAAGAATAAGTTGGAGATATGACCATCTAAATATTTCTTAAAACGGAATACTCTTATATAATCCAGTATAGTGATCAAACCAGGAAATTAATATTAACAGTGACAAATTGATACAGATTTTGTTCAAATTTCATCACTTATCCCAATAATGTCCTTTATAGCAGAAGAAAGTCTTGGTTCATGCATTACATTCAGCTGTCATGTCTCTTTAGTCTCCTTTAAGCTGGAAGAGTTCCTGAGCCGTCATTTGTGTTTTATGTCAGTATTACTTTTAGAGTACAGGCCGTTTATTTTGTAGAAAGTCCCTCAATTTGGATTTGACTGTTTCTTAAAATTAGACTCAGGTTATAAACTTTCGGCAGGAATACCATAGAAGTGCTGTAGTGTTCTTAATGCATCATATCATGAGGCACATGATGTCTGTTTGTCCCATGACTGTGGGTGTTAACTTTGAACATTTAATGAGGGTGGTGTCTGTCTGCCACTTCTCTCTAAGCCAGTGCTGATTCTTTTTTTCCTGCATTAAATGGACTTCTTTTGTGCTCATTCAGAAAGACCATATGATATCAATGTGTCATAATTTTCAGAAATAAAAAGGACTTTCGTAGTGGTTTTTTTTTTTTTTTTGTGCTGGACTTAGAATTTTTCTGTAAGTTCGAGATTGTTTTAAATGTAAAGCACTGAAAAATTACTTTTATAAATTATGTACATACACTTAAATTTAGCGGCATTGATGTACTATTACTTTTTGCAGACATACCTATTACTAGGAAAGGATGGTGGCTTTTTTGAATGATTTACTTTATAATTTATGGTTTTATGTTGTCTTAATAGGGCTTGCACCCTAGAATAATAGCAGAAGGATTTGAAGAAGCAAAGAAAAAAGCACTTGATGTTTTGGACGAAATTAGAGTCAAAAAAGAGATGAAAAGAGACATCCTCTTAGAAGTGGCTAGAACATCTCTACAAACTAAAGTTCATGCTGAACTGGCTGATGTGTTAGTAGAGGTATGTGATTCATTTTTTACATTCAGAAAGAGGATAGCCTGACACAAGGTGATATTTTTCTTTTTCCTATAAGATACTCAACTATTACATGTGGTTTTTTGAATGTAAAATAAATTTTGGAAGACAAACATTATAGACTTGCTTACTAGATTTGATTGGTCAGAACAGCATGTATAATTTTTTTTTTCAAAAGGATCACATTAAGCCTTCTTTTAAGTTAATTTGAAAGTCGGGAGGTCCTTGGCTGCCTCTGGCTCATCCCCTGTGGATGCCACTGGGGTGAAGTACTGGTCTCATACCTATATGTCCATATTAACTACGTTAGATTATACATGGAGAGGTTGTTTGGGCAGTGCTTTATAGTTAAGGTTGCAACTTTAACGAAGCATGATTGATTTGCTAATACTTCTGGGAACTGCATAATTTGTTTTTGATAACTTCTAGAGGTGGAATATATTGCCCTAACTGGTTTGGCTCAGTAAAATCGGCCTGCGGACTGAAGGTCCCAGGTTCGATTCTGGTCAAGGGCATGTACCTTGGTTGCGAGCACATCCCCAGCAGGGGGTTTGCAGGAGGCAGCTGATCAATGTTTTTAACTCTCTATCCTTCTCCCTCCCTCTCTGTAAAAAAAATCAATAAAATATATTTAAAAAAAATAAAGGTGGAATGGATGTAACATAATCAAGATTAGGTGTTTTGGGAAGCCTTTTATTAAGGGGCTATAGTTTGGTGATATCATTGCTCGTTAGCTTTGCAGTTTCTGAAATTTGAATATATTAATGTATCAGGAATGATGATTTCATAACCAAATTCACAAGAGATTTTCATATAAGTCAGTATGCTGTCATACTAATTTACTTTGAGGAATGTAAGACCCAAATGGACTGGAACAGCTGAGTTATTTCTGGTCAATTATCCTTACCAGCAGGAAAACCTATTTGGGATATCAGACTAAAATCAGACAATTTCTTACTGAGCAGAGTCTAAATAAAGACTGCTGTATTATCTGCTGTTGGGATACATATAGCAAGTAGTTCAGAATCTTCATGCTCTCTGGTTAGAGCCCCCATTTCCTTTTGGAGTTACAGAAGCACTGATACTCTCACTATCCAATATTTTTTTTGACATAGCCTATTTAGGCTCCAAAACCAAATATTATGCTACATCTAGTAATCTTTTCTAAGAAATTGTGGGTTTAAAAAATATATTTGATTTTTCACAGAGAGAAAGAGAGAGGGATAGAGAGTCAGAAACATCAATGAGGGAGAAACATCAATCAGCTGCCTCTTGCACACCTGCCACTGGGGATGAGCCCGCAACCAAGTCACATACCCTTGACCGGAATCGAACCTGGGACCTTCCAGTCCGCAGGCTGACACTCTATCCACTGAGTCATACCGGTTTCAGTAGAAATTATGTGTGTGTGTGTGTGTGTGTGTGTGTGTGTGTGTGTTTTACTTTATTTACATTTTAGGATGGTTATACTGTAGTACTTTATTTCTGTGGTAATTACTTTCTGAGCTAAACAATGGGTGTATTGGGCTATGTTTCTCAAATTGCATATCCCTGGCGATATTTGGCAGAAAAAAATAAAATACATCTTTCTGAAATGTCAATTTTACTTTATGATTTTGGGGGGAAAGTATTATTTCATATTAAACAGCATGTATGAATAATGTCACGACATGGTAAGTTTTCATGATGAAACACAAGACTTAAAAATTTCCTTTGTTAATAGCTAGCAAATTTGAGCTCCTCCCTTATGTTAGAATTCCTTCTTTTTTATTAAGGTGTCCTTTGGTGGAAAAGTTTGAGCAGTGTTGGTATAATAGAAGGAGCAGTGGCTTGGCAGTTCCAGAGACCTGAATTCCAGTCCTGGTCTGCCTATTGCTGTTCAGACCTTGTTTTAAGATCTTTAAGATCATAACTTATTTTTTTTAAAATATGTTTTTATTGATTTTAGAGAGAGAGAGGCAGGGAGAGGGATAGAGAGAAAGAAACTTCGACGAGAGAGAAACATCGAGATTGGCTGCCTCCTGCGCGCTTCATATTAGGGACCGAGGCTGCAATTGGGGCGTGTGCTTTGTCCAGGAACCGAATCTCTTATTTCTTGGGTTGATACTCAACCACTGAGCCATGCCAGCCAGGCACGATCATAACTTCTTGAGGTCTTGTCTTAGTTTCCTTATCTGTAAAATAAAGGGTTTGGACTTGATGATCTTTGAAATCCATTTAGGCTGTAATAAAGTCCATGACCAAGTGGCACTTTTAGCCTTGCCCTGTGTTTTGGAGCCCGTAGCTTTGCTTGCTTAATCTGGTGATGGATTACCTGGACCAGTGGTGTTCTGTAGTAGTCTAAATAATTGACTGTTCTCTTTCACTTTCCTTTCAGGCTGTGGTGGATTCTGTGTTGACTATTACAAGACCGGGCTATCCTATCGATCTCTTCATGGTAGAAATCATGGAGATGAAACACAAATCAGAAACAGATACAAAGTAAATTACATAAACTTTGGCAATACATAGATCCTAGAATATTTGGTTATCTTCAGATATTCTCTCATTAATTTCATTGGTTATTCATTCAACGTATGTTAATTGGATGCTTACCAGAGCCAGTTTCTTTCTCCAAGAAGCTTACATTTCTAGTTGGAGATAATGAACAAATAAGTGATAATAAATGCTCTGAAGAGACTAGAGTAACAGTGTGTGTGAGAATAAGTGTCATTTTAGAGCAACATGAAATTAAACTAGGGAACTAAGGTAAGTCTCTGAATATTTAGAAGAAGAGTGTTCTAGGCAGAGGGAATAATAGGCAGAAATGTGCTTGTGTGTTCCTTGTGCGTACAGCAGAATCAAAGGAAAAAGTTGTAGGAGATGATGAGGTAAGAGGGGCCATGCAATTAACATTGCCTAAATATGTATATACTCAGAGTATATGGCATCTTGTTGATTTGAGGCTTAACTAATTTTAAATGTTCTATCATGGAACATTCTAAACATATATAGAAGTAGAATAGAATAGTGACATGTCTGTCACTCATCTTTATCTATTTTCAGATTATGGCTAAAAAACCCTTATAGACTCTTTTTCTCTTTCCCCTGTTCTGAACTTGGATTATTCTTAAGCCAGTCCAGATATCATAATTCATCAGTAAATACTTTATTAAAAAATATATATCTTTACTTATTTATAGAAATTCAATTTGGTTGTTTATTAAATTTGCAATGTCACTATTTATGATTTCCTATTCCTTGCATATCTTCCCAAACTTACATTTTATTTCTTTAAACATACAGGGGTGGCAAAAGTAGGTTTGCAGTTGTAAAACAAGTAAATAATACAATATTAATTAATAATAATGCAAGAACAAACTGTTTTGCATACTCACAACTTTAAACCTACTTTTTGCCCTACACTGTATCATCCATGTCTGATAATTACAATATTTAAAGTCTGGCTTGTCTATTTATGGTGTTTATTGTATTTTGCTGTTTCTCACGCATCATACTTTATTTCTATATGTGCTATTCATTATGTTTGAAAAAAGTATTTGTAGAAATAATTTGCAACCTAGGGTGAAGGTGCTTTTCTGCAGAGAATTTGAATTTGCTGCTGTAAGGAGCCTGGATACTAAATTACATCCACATCTGAGGCTTTTTGGAAATACCCAGTTGTGAATTCTAACTGCAAGTTCATGTGAGGGCTGCTTGCTTTTAGTTCATCCTTCTGGTTTTTACCCCGAGTATACAGCCTATTGGATTCCCACTTACTGTGAAGAGGGCCTTCTGTTAGACACTGTACCTTGGATGAACTCTGAACTTTTAATTCTGCCCCCTCTCATTATGAGGTCATTGAAACCAAAGTTCAGATTTGCCTGAATTGTCAAATGACTTTGCAGTAGGAGATCCCAAGTTCTCTACTTACCTCTTAGAGTTCTGGTTTTCTTTTCAGTTTTGAGAAGAAAATTGTTTTGTAGCTCTTCACTATCTTAAAGCTTTCTAGTATTTTAAAGGGTTTTTGTTTTTTAACCCAACATTGTTTTTGGTATTAGTGTTGGTTCAAATTAGCTTACTATTTTTGATTTATATTTCAGAGGGATCTCTGTGGTTGTGATGTGGGGAATACACTGTGGAATATGGTGGGAGGTGCATGGGCAGAAGTTAGGAGACCAGTTAGGAATCTGTTGTGATAATAAGTAAGAAATGAAAATGGCTTAGATAGGGTAAACTTAGGAGCAAGAGGATTTCTCGGTGATTTGACATAGAATGTGGCAGGAATAGAGGAGTCAGGATGTCTTTTGGGTTTTTGCATGAACAGCTGGAAAAATGGAGGTGTCATGAAGAAGACTGGGAAGAGCGGGTTTGGGGAAATAAATCAGGAGTTCAGTTTGGGGAATGCTATTTTTAGATGCCTATTAGTGGTTGAGTAGAGAGTAGGAGAGATGTTCTGGAGTGCACATAGTGGTCTGGACTGGAAATACATATTTGGAAGTCATCAGTGTATGGATGACTTACAGCTATAAGAGTTGATGAGATCATCTGGGAAGTAAATATAGATGAAGAAAAGCAGAAATGTAAGGATTGGGAACTTTGGCACACTCCGATGTTTAGAATTGAGAAGATAAGGGGCATTCAGCAAAGGAAACTAAGAAGGGTGGTCAGTGGGATAGGAGGAAAACCAACAGAGGGTAGTGTCCCAGAAACTAAGAGAAGAAAGTATTTCAAGAAGGAGAGAATAATCAGCTATGTCATATGCTGCTGGAATTTTGAGCAAATTGTTGTGAACTGAGAATTGACTATTAGATTTGGGGAAATTTAGTTTTTTGGTAACTTTAATGAAAGTTCATTCAGTAAAGGGATGGCCATGAAAGTCAGTCAGATTGAAGGTGGGCTCAAGAGAGAATGGTTTGGGAAGAAGTGAGGATGCAAATGTAGACAACTCAGAGGAATTTTTCTATAAAAGGGAGCAGAGAAATGGGGTAGTAGCTAGAAGAGAACATGGGAATGGGGCTTCAACCCAAAGATTTCTTTTAAAAAAATATAAATTATTATTAATTTCAGAGAGGAAGGGAGAGGAAGAGAGAGAGATGATGAGAGAGAATCATTGATTGGCTGCCTCCTGCACACCCCCTACTGGGGACCGAGCCCGCAATCTGCAACCTGGGCATATGCCCTGACCAGAAATCGAATTGTGACCTCCTGGTTCATAGGTTGATGCTCAACCACTGAGCCACACCAGCTGGGCACAAAGAATTCTTTGTTTTAAAGATGGGAATTTTTATGACAAATTTGTATCCTGCTGAGAATGCTCCTTTAGACAGGAAGACTTAGGGGAATAGGGAACAATGCAGGAGCAGGGAGGGGAAATGGAATACAGTTCACAAGTGGAGGACTTAACCTTAGAGAAGAGCATGGACAGATCATTCGTAATCATAGGAGGTTCAGGTTTAAGTGCTGGTGGATTGGTAAGAGGTAGTGATGGGACTGTTTCTTTTTTCTTAAAGAAGCAAGGACATTTGCTGAGAGTGAGGTGGAGGAAACAGTAAAGGATGTTTGAAGAGTGAAGAATATTGAACATGTAGTTTGTTTCTTAATTAAAATATCTTCACGTTAAATTAGGAGTTAGAGTAATCTAGTTAGATTAAAACTGAAAACTTCATTATATTTAACTATTTAAAAAAATATATCTTTAGTGTATAACAAATATTGGTTATAAAAGATTCATACATAGAAATGCCATTCCCTAATTGGGCATAAATGAATTTTGAAGAGTTATAAGGATATTGAAGGAATATTTGGAAAACAGGAAAAAAGACCCCTCAACATGATCTGTATTCCTAACCATTCAAGCATAACCCTACTCTTTAATTTCCTTTCATTTTTGTCTTTTCACTGCCAAAGTGCTTATTTTTTTTTTAAAGAACAGTTATAATCATGTTTTTTATGCAATTTGTCATTCTGTGCTTATCAACCATCCCTGTAAATATTTTTCCGTGTTATTATGATTGAAATATTTGGGCCATTATTTGCTGAATAGTACTCTTTTGTTGGACATTTAGATGAACAATTTTGTTCCATATAATTATTTTGAACAAATAAATGTTCCTTAGAAACTCATTGTGTGCCTACTTTTCATTACTTGATCAGCTGTGTCATATGTTTGTGCCACATAATTTAGAGGCTGATTCTGGATTGCTTTCATTGTGCCTTAACAATCACAGTGTGTAAAATAGATTATCTTCTCCAATTTTACTAATTATGTGTTAGGATTAAAGTTGGTATAAGGAAACGATGAATTGTAGGTGTATGTCCTGGCAATTCTGTTATTCTAGCCCTAGCTGGTTTGGCTCAGTGAATAGAGCATCAGACTGTGCAGATTGAAGGGTCCCAAGTTCAATTCAAGCCAAGGCCATATACCCAGGTTGTGGGCTTGGTCTCCAGTTGGGGGCTTGCAGGAGGCAGCCGATCAATGATTCTCTCTCATCATTGATGTTTTCTCCCTCTCTCCCTTTTTCTTCCTCTCAGAAATAAATAAAAATACCTTTTAAAAAAAGTATAATTATAATTTTATATAAAATTTTAGAGTGTATATTCAAAGAAAAAAACATTGCATATTTTTAATAGGTTAATCAGAGGATTAGTTTTGGATCATGGTGCCCGTCACCCAGAAATGAAGAAGCAAGTAGAAAATGCATATATCCTTATTTGCAACATATCACTAGAATATGAAAAAACGTATGTATGTCGTTTACTCTTTATAACATTTAAAACTATTTTTTTCTAAAAATATTTTTTAATCTCTTTCTTTCCTCCCACTGTAATAGTGTAAACTCCTACCTTTTCCTCTTCTCCCCACTCCCTTTACTAGCTTGTTTTTATTAATTTTTTAGTGAGGTGAGCTCTGGTTTCTTTTATAAGACTGCTCAAGAAAAAGAAAAATTGGTAAAAGCTGAAAGAAAATTTATTGATGATAGAGTACAAAAAATAATAGACCTGAAAGACAAAGTCTGTGCTAATTCCAACAAAGGATTTGTTGTCATTAATCAAAAGGTGAGGAAAAAAATGTTTAGATTTTAACTATTTGTAAATGTTCTTTAGTGTTTCTCAAAGTGTGGTCTGTGGTCCTGAAGGAGTTCCTAAGACTATTTCAGGGAGTTGGTGAGGACAAAACTATTTTCATAACATTAGTAATAATGCTTTTATATTGTGTTGACATTTGCAGTGATGATGCAAAACTGCTGATACCTTAGCACAAATCAAAGCAGTAGCACCAAACTATACTAGTAGTCATCATACCTTTCATTGCCACACTGCTACACACTGGCAGTTTTTAAAAAAAGGGAGTTCACTTAGGAATGTGTTTAAGAAGTAGTAAAGCTTATTAGTTTAATTAAATGTTGATTCGTAAATAATTCAGTGTGACAAAATATGAAGTATGCACAAAACACTTTTGTGGCATATCAAAATACGGTTGTGTTGAAGGAAAGCTCTTGTGTGATTGAGAATCACGCAATGCCGTTTTTACTGGAAAGAATGACTGACAGACAAACTTATCTTTATTTAGACATGGGTGCTTGGTAGTTTCTTCTAAAAAAAATGAATGCAGAAATTCTGCCACTTGAAGGAAAACAGACGGTATTTGTTGCCAATGATAACATTTGAGCCTTCAAACAAAAATTAGAATTCTGGAAAACCTGTATCTGCCACTGTGAACTTGACAGCTTTCTGATATTTAAAAGGCTTTTCTGATAATATTTGTGATGATATTAGCAAAGGTGATATATTTGATATTGTATTACCATGAATGTATCAGCATTTGGGAGCTCTGCCTAACTTAGTGAATCAATATTTTCTAAATGCCTAATAATCAATTCAAAATGCAAGATAGAAATGGATTTTAATGTTGGAGAGTTTCAAGAGTTCATTGATATGGTTCCGTAGTCCACACTGAAACTAACCACTTATTGAGTTTTGGTATAGTATCAAAGAAGAATGTCCACATTTATCTGAAAAGGCTATTAAAATATTCCTCTCTTTTCCAATACACTTTTTTGGGAGGCTTCTTATACTTTAGACAAAACAACATATTGTACCAGATTGAATGCAGAAGCAGATAGGAGAATAAAAAATAAAAAAAAAGAAAGAAAAGGAACATTTGTAATAATCTGAAAAATAAAGATTTATTAAAACAAACAAAAAGATAGACATTAAAGCCCTGGCTAGTGTGGCTCAGTTGGTTGAGCATTGTTCCCTGCAAGGAAGTTTGCTGGTTCAATTCCTGGTCAGGACATATGCCTAGGCTACAGGCTCAATCCCTGGTAGGGGTGAATACAGTAGGCAACTGATGTCTCTCTCACATCCATGTTTCTCTCTCTCTCTCTCTTTCTTCTTCTTCTTCTTCTTCTTCTTCTTCTTCTTCTTCTTCTTCTTCTTCTTCTTCTTCTTCTTCTCCTCTTCTCTTCTCTTCTCTTCTCTCTCTCTCTCTCTCTCTCTCTCTCTCTCTCTCTCTCTCTCTCTCTCTCTCTCTCTCTCTTCCTTTCCCTCTCTCTTCCTCCCTCTCTTTCCTAAAGGAAAAAATCAATAGAAAAATAAAAAACATATATAACATTAAGAAGATTATAGAAGTCTAAAACAGTGTCTCACCCTTACTGTATTTTTTGTTTAGGAAACGAGAGTAAATTTTAATTAAAAAATGTTATTTATGTTAACATAAATGGTTTCTTATTCTATTAAATGGATTAATAAACATTTAAAAATTTCTCAATTTTAACGATATGATAAATATTATAGATACAGATTACATAAATGAAAGTACTTTGGGCTCTTAATAATTAAAATATATATTTTTATTGATTTTAGAGAGGAAGGAAGAGAGATACAGAACTATCAATGATGAGAGAATCATTAATCAAAACCCAAAACCCAGACATGTGCCCTGATGAAATTGAACTGTTATCTCCTGGTTCATAGGTTGACAAGTCAACCACTGAGCCATATCATTGGGGCTTAACATTTTTTTAATACCCTTTCATAAACTTTATTTTTTAAATCTTTATTGTTGAAAATATTACATATGTCCCTTTTCCCCCCCATTGATCTCTTCTAGCCTGCCCCTATCCTCCACCCCAGGACTTCACCACCCTATTGTCTGTGCCCGTGTATTACGCATATACGCAAACAAGTTCATTGGTTGATCACTTCTCACCCACCCACCCACTCTTTCCTGCCTTCCCTCTGAGGTTCGACAGGCTGTTCCATGCTTCTGCATCTCTGGATTTGTTAATGTTCATCAGATTATTTTGTCAGGGGCTTAATCATTTTTAAAAGCATGACTCAGTGCTGAGATAAAAAAGTTTTAGGATCACTAGTTTAAAACATGCTTGTAACTTCTGTGCTAATTTGATTATAGGGAATTGATCCATTGTCCTTAGATGCACTTGCAAAACATGATATAGTAGCTCTTCGCAGAGCAAAAAGAAGAAATATGGAAAGGTAAGCTTGCAGGTAATTATATGTCCTAAGTTTATTAACAGATTAAATTGAAATTATCCCATATCTTCCTTTTAGCTTAGATGCAAACATTGTTGAGAAAAATAGTAGTGTACAAATTCCAAATTTTGTTTTTGATTTTAGTAAATAATGTAACTGTCAAAAATCAAGATTAACCTACCTCAAAACTTTGTTGAAATACAAGAAAGGTTTTCATCTTAAAAAAAAAAAATATATATATATATATATATGTTATATATATATGTTTATTTATTGATTTCAGAGAGGAAGGGAGAAGGAGTGAGATAGAAACATCAATAAGATGAGAGAATCATTGATGGGCTGCTATGACTAGGAATCAAAACATGATTTCCTGGTTCATAGGTTGACACTCAACCCAGACTGGCTGGGCAGTTTTTATCTTCTTAAAACAGATTTTAGCCGAAACCGGTTTGGCTCAGTGGTAGAGCGTTGGTCTGCGGATTGAAAGGTCCCAGGTTCGATTCCGGTCAAGGGCATGTACCTTGGTTGCGGGCACATCGCCGGTAGGGGGTGTGCAAGAGGCAGCTGGTCGATGCTTCTCTTTCATCGTTTCTAACTCTCTATCCCTCTCTCTTCCTCTCTGTAAAAAATCAATAAAATATATTTAAAAAAAACAAAAAACAAACAAACAGATTTTATTTATTTACTAGAGGCCCAATGAATGAAAATTCATGCACTAAAGGGGGGCCCCTCAGCCCAGCCTGCCTCCTCTCACAGTCCGGGAGCCCTCAGCGGCGGGAGGTGACCCTGTGATAAGGAGAAGGCGACTCCCCCATCACGCTTCTGCTGCTGCCACTGCCGGCAGTGAAAGCCTCGGCTGGCCTGGTTACCTGAGTCTCGGGCGGCCAGGCGTAGCTGGGCAGCTGCTATCCAAGGCTTGCCTGTGCCTTGGGCTGGCCCTGGGTGGCTGGGGGACTGAGGGGCCTGGGGTACTCCAGAGGCATGTGCATGGAGTGGCCAGACCTGTCTGGGGTGATGGGCCCAGTCGTGCCACATGCCTGCTGCCCAGGTGGGGCTGAGGGGAAAGGGTGGCCACCATCTTTAAGGGTGCGGCAGTCAATTAGCATATTCCCTCTTTATTATATAGGATTTATTTATTTATTTATTTATTTATTTATTTATTTATTTAGAACAGATTTAGAAGTAATATAATACAGGGACAATGAAGTCTTCCATGTTAGATATGTTTTCACCTTTAAGAAATTAGTCTTTATATTTTCCTATGTTGACATATATGTAATTTCAGACTCACTCTTGCTTGTGGTGGAATAGCTGTGAATTCTCTTGAAGACCTCAGTGTAGATTCCTTGGGACATGCTGGTCTTGTACATGAATATGCAGTAGTGAGTATCTCTGGGGGCAGTGGTTAGAAAGTAAACAGTAAACTACCACCTTTTTTAAATATTGAAACTTTTAATCCAGGTTTTACATTTTGAAGTCTGAAAGATACACAGGATAGATTTTATAATTTATTTACCTAAATACTAAGAGTTCAAATATAACTTATATGCTTTTAACATATATTTAGTTATGTTTGACAAGAAAAATTCACAAGAAGATTGACAGAATGGCATTACATATTAAAGTTATATCTTCTTGTATTATTCTTTAGGGTGAAGAAAAGTTCACTTTTGTTGAGGACTGTGTTAACCCTCGCTCTGTCACCTTGTTGGTTAAGGGACCAAATAAGCATACTCTCACACAAATCAAAGATGCTGTAAGGGATGGACTTCGTGCCATCAGAAATGCCATTGAAGATGGTAAGTTTTTTTTGAGTGTGATGGATATGAAACTCACATTTTAAAAGTGGTAATAAATCTATCTAGTATGTATACTACTTTAAAATATATTAATGAAATATATTAATAAAATATAGTTATTCTTTCATTTTACTTTGGGCAATTTATAGTTTGGGTTGTGACGCTTTTTCCCTTTGGAATATTGTTAATAATATGTTGCCATTTTAATTATCTTCGGTTTATGAAATGAAAAAGGACTTAATTTAATGCTGTAGTATCATCTTTTTTAATTTTTAAAACCTTAAGAAGCTTTTACTGCTTAGAACGCATTTCATTACCTCAAGTGCAGTGTAAAGTTTATCATTGTCTAACACGTTAAGTGCCCAGTCAGACACTATACTTTCCATCTGGAAGACAAAACAGGCTGGGTGCTTAACGTGCTAACCACTATGCTGGACACCTGACATTAATACAAAATGACATTGAATCTAAGCTGTAAGTGAAAAAAAAACACACAACACATTAGGGAAGAATATTAGCTCTTATTATTTAAAAAGAGGCCTGGTGCATGGATTCATGCATTGGTGGCATCCCTCAGCCTGGCTTGCACCCTCTTGCAATCCGGGACCCCTTGGGGGCTGAAGTAGTGTGCAAAGCGACAAGTGGCCAGGAGGCCCGATCCCGGGCTGGGCACTGTGTTGCTCCTGCTCATCCTGGCGCTGTTGAAAACATATGTCCACCCAAAAAACTTGTAACTGTTCACAGCAGCATTTTCATAATAACCAAATAGTGGAATCAATTCAAATATCAATTAGTTGATGAATGGATAAACAAAAATGTGGTATATCCATACAATGGAGTGTTATTTAACCACAAAAAGGAATAAATACTGATATATGGAACAACATGACGACCTTGAAAACATTATGCTAAGTAAAAGAGTCTATACACAAAAGGCTGTGTATTATGTGATTCCATTTATATGAAATATCTAGGAAAGCCAAAGACATACAGACCAAGCGTAGATTAGCAGTGGCCAGGGGCTGGGCAAAGGGGAAATAGAGACTGATTGCTAATGGTACAGGGTTATTGTTGTTTTTTAAAAATATTCTGAAATAAGATAGGGGTGATGGTTGTACATTCATGTGATTATACTAAAAACTACTGAAAAGAATAACTTTAAAAGGCTGAATTTTAGGGTATGTGAATTATATCTCAAAAATAGAGTAACACATTTTATAAACAATAGGCCAGATTTATCTGATAGACAAAAAAATAGATATGAAATAATGGTAAAAAGACATCTGAGTAATCACTGAGTTGTGCAACTCATTTTCCTTGTGTATATATTTATATATATTTTAGACAATAAAGCACACTTGAATAGCTAGTTGCCTTTTTTCTCTGTTTTCTTTTTCTGTATGGCATGTCTTGTCAATCATTTTTTCCCCTCCCATAGGTTGTGTGGTTCCAGGAGCTGGTGCAGTTGAAGTGACAATAGCTGAAGCTCTTATTAAGTACAAGCACAATATAAAAGGAAGAGCTCGCCTTGGAGTTCAAGCTTTTGCTGATGCCTTACTCATTATTCCTAAGGTACAACTATCCTGATGGCCACAGAGCCACTTATTCCACATAAGGTGTTTCATTATAATTTGCATATATTATCTAGCAGCAGACATTTATTTGCACTTATTTACACAGTTTGTCTAAGATATTTTTATAGCGAAAGCAGGGAAACTTTCGGAATAACAGCTCAGAATTTTTATAGGAGTTTAATGAAATAGCCAAAATACCCCCTTGCTTTATTCTCTGAGTTTCAAAAGTTGAAGTGATAAAAAAATTTCCTTCAAAAATGCTTCTTGATTAATCATAATGAAAAAGTTTACAAGTTAAGATTTAATTAGATTTTAGAGCAGACCTTTATTTTGTTGGTGGTATCCAAAGTATTATCACTTTAAATTGTGCAAAGTGAGAACTTCAGGATGTTTAGCATTCCCAAATATGGCCTTGCATTCCATTTTTATTATAATTCTTTATAAAAGGAGAGAAACCAAATATTTTTTCATGTATCAGTAGGATAGAGAACTACAATACCATTCCTTTGCTTTTGTCTTAACCTGGTTATGAACCACTTAGAAGCACAGAAAAACTTTCAAATATGCTGTTACTATGAATTACAAGATTACTAACAATGCTAGCAAAGTCTCTTTGGATAATTGCTTTAAAATTATTCATAATTTGTAGAATCTTTGTGAATGAGAAATCTATGGTTTTCTTTCCCCAAAGCAGCAAAGTCAGTAAATAATGATCCTTTAGTTGATGCAAATTGGTAAACCTATTGATAGTATGCATTGGTCATACCTTTTTACTCGTCAATTGTTGGTTGGGACCACTTGCAAATAAACCTGGGATGGAGTGCAGGTATTTCCATCCCTGTCGCCACACTTCATGACTCTCCTCTTGTTGATGAGGAGCACAGAGATGCTGCAGATATGCAGGCTTCCTTTTGTAAGTGCCCAGGAAAAACTGGAAGACGTGGCTAGAGGAACTAGAGGAAACAAGAATACTATTCTAATTCCTTTCATGTTTTTTGTTTTTAAAACCTTTAAAAAATATTTTTATTGATTTTTTACAGAGAGGAAGAGAGAGAGAGAGTTAGAAACATTGATGAGAGAATCATCGATCAGCTGCCTCTTGCACACCCCCTACTGAGGATGTGCCCGCAACCAAGGTACATGCCCTTGACTGGAATAGAACCTGGGACCTTTCAGTTTGCAGGCCGACACTCTATCCATTGAGCCAAACTGGTTTCGGCTGTTTTTAAAATCTTTTGCAAGGAGGAAAATTAATTTAGTGGGATACGGATGGGAGAACCCTAATGCCCTACTCAGAATTTAGTGTGCTGAACATAGAGAAAATGTTTAAGTAAATATAAAAAATGCCAGATATATAAAGTAGTCATTTGATTTAGATTAAGAATGAAATTCCTCAAAGGGAGATGATTTTTATATTGTGAAAATATATTTTCCCAAGGCTAGAAAGCAGTGCCTTTAAAAAAAAAAGTATATATATTCCACACATATATTTATTGTTATTTTTATTTCTCAAGGTCCTTGCTCAGAATTCTGGTTATGACCCTCAGGAAACACTAGTAAAAGTTCAGGCTGAGTATTCAGAGTCAGAACAACCTGTTGGTATTGATTTGAATACAGGTAAGAAAGTGAAGAAAAATTATCTGCTATCTAATATTAAAATTCTACCTAATAAAAAGAAAGAGCTTATACTATAGTGACCCAGAACTTATAGTAAGGGGGTGGAGGTTTGGATGATTTTAATATTTAAATTTTGGATGCCTTTTAGTTTACTTTTGAACTTTTAAAATTATTTATTCATAAAAGAAATAGTCATTGAGTGCTTGTTATTTGACTCTTGGGATTCACACAGAACAAAACAGACAAAGTCCTTGTTCTTGTGAGCTTAGGTTATAGTGGGCAAGAATAGACAGTAAAAAATAAACTTAATTCATACGTTATTTTTAGCATTTTTAAAGAATGCTATGAAGAAAATAAAATAACAGTATAAGGATGATTGTGAATGTTAGCACAGGAAGGTTGGGAGGGGGTTTCAATTTAAAGAGGATAGTCATCAGTGAGAATATGTCTATTGAAAATAAAAAGGAGTGAGGAATGTAGCCATGTGGACCACTGAGGAAAGAGTATCCTAGGCCGAAGGAATGGCCAGTGGAAAAAATCACTGTCTGATATTTCAGACAATATAGAGGAGGAGGAAGGAGATGGGGGAGGTAGTAGAAAGTCATGTAGGGGCATAGAGGCTACTCTAAAGACTCGGATTTTTACTGTAGTGGAATAGGGAGCAATTTAGAACGGAGGTGTGACATGGCCTAATTATGTTTAAAAGGATCACTGACTACTCTATGCAGAGGAGCTAACAACTAGAAGGTCAGGATTGCCATTGGAGAAGACTGTGGGCAGAGCAGGTTGTAGTGGGGTGGTGGTGACCAGTATTGAGTTTTGCAGAGTTAATTGTGAAGTATCTGTAGACTTTCAAGTAAAATAGACAGTTGGATGTATGAGTCTGGAGCTCAAGAAGGAGGTCTGGTTGGGAGATAAAAGCTTGAGAGTCATCAGAGTGTATATGAGTAGAGGAGACTAGAGGAGATCATCTAAGAGTTATTGTAGAGAGAAGAGAAGAATCCAGGACTGAGCTTTTAGGTACTCCAACAGTAAGAGCTCAGGGAAGAGGAAGAAGCAGCAAAGCAGACAGAAAAGGAGCCACTAGTGCAAAAGAAAAAAAAAAAAACACACACACACAAAAAACAAACAAACAGGCAGGTGAAGGAAGACAAGTGAAGGAAGGTTAGGAGGGTATGATCATATGTGTTAAGTGCTGCTGATTGATGAGGCCTGAGAATTGACTATTGGATTTGACAACATGGAGGTCATTTGTTACTGTGACAATACTAGTTTTGGTGGCATATTAAATATTGTTGGAATATACAACAAATGTTAATATATTAACACTAGAGGCCCGATGCACGGACTTTGTGCAAGGGGCTTGGCCCTCGCCATTGTGGCTTCGTCTGGAAGGTCATCAGGAAGGATGTCCAGTCTAATTTTGCATATTACCCTTTTATTATTATAAGTTATAGTATTAAAATTGTTTTTGCTTTGCAGGAGAGCCAATGGTAGCAGCTGATGCAGGAGTTTGGGATAATTATTGTGTGAAAAAACAACTTCTTCACTCTTGGTAAGCTTGTATTAATAAGAGAAAGACTTTGGGGGATATAATTGATAACATTAAATTTTTTTCTATTGTTTTTGCCATCCTACATTGGGGAAATGGCTAAGTGTATGAAAAGGCATGGTAGTCAGTTATTAAGATTAACTTCTGCCATTTTATAGTCCCTCTTAACATTTTTGTTCTAGCAATGTAAGTTATAGAAAATGTTAATCTTTCTGATTATTTGAGGGGAAAGGGAAAGAAATGACTTTACTGAAATAGTACCAATGCATAGTGGGAAAATCATATCATGTGCTAAAAATAAGGTCAGTTTTGCTGGAAAATACAATCAAGCTTCCACTTTATTAGCAAAAGAATTGGTAATCTTTGTATTTATAATAGCTGTGTTTCAGAAAATCTCATACCAACATCAATGAAAAACAAAGTACCTTTAGTAGCTGCAGATTGCTATGGAGAAAAGATAAGAGGAGTTGGTAGGTTTTACTCACCTTATCACCCTTTTCTACAGCACAGTGATTGCTGCGAACATTCTCCTGGTTGATGAAATTATGCGAGCCGGTATGTCTTCTCTCAAAGGATGATTGAGTTCAAAATCAACTCTTCTAGAAGCTGAGATTTAGCACATTTTACATCCAACTACCTTTATATAGCCTGAACCATTCTTAATTTTACGCAATAAATGCATCTTGTATTTGCTGGTTTTAGCAGTCTCAAAAATTATTTCATCCAGGTATAAAGAACATAAGGAAGATTTTTACAATCAAGAGTAATAATGAAAATATTTTCTCCTAAGAGTTCTAATTTTATGCGGTAGATGTCCTGTAGCATCCACTGGCATTGCCTCTCCATTCCCTTGAGCTGGGCACTCCAGTTGTGCACTCCTGTGTGGGCTGTGTACACCCTCCTGTTGTAGTTGAGCTTTGATTGTTGTTGGCACCTCAGTGGGAGGGATTTACTCTCAGGTTGATTGGCTGTGAAGACTGGCTGTGACCACCGTGGCGGATCAGCTGTTCTGGGGTCCATTTCACAGAGCAGAACTTGGTTCAGCAGGGCTCTGGTGCCCGCTGAGCTGCCCCTTGAGTGTGTCTCTTACGGAGGTGGTTGGGTGGTGCTTCGATGTGATCTGCAGCTGTTTGCCATGGCTCTGGGACATTCCAGGAGATGCAGGTCAAGGTCAGCCACCATCTGTGCCCTGCCCAAGGCCACCTTGCATGAGCTACAAAGCAATCTGCAGTTGGCTGCTACTTGTGCTGGGCTTGGAGGTGCCCAGAAGAAGCCACGTTGTGAACCAAGGCTGGCTGCTGTGAGTGCCAGGCCTAGAGCCACTTAACGGGAGGTACGGGGCATGCTCAGGCTAGATGCTGCTTGAGAGATTTTAAAACAGTCTGAAGACAAACCATTTGCATGGAAAAGCCACTGGAAACACCTTGGGTTGGAACAGCAAGTTGGGTTTTAGGGAATCACCATGGTGGCCTAACAGCCATAGCCAGGTAGATGGAAACATATATAGCGCCCAGGCTGACCCTGATGCCAGACAGTTCAGTGCCTTCCTGGATATCCCAGGTGCCTGTTTGCTGCTGCCCAGAATTGCAGTTCAGAGGGAGTCCAAATGTGTGTGGGCCATTTAAGAGGAACACCTGAGTTTCCAGCAGCCCTCTGTCTCTCTCAGCCACAAACCCCACTGGCTTTTACAGCCAGAAATTATGGGGACTTCTCTTCCTGGCACTGGAATCCTAAAGCTGGGGATTCTGATGTGGGCCAGGGTCCCTTTGCTCCTCAGAAGGGACCTCCGCAATCCAGATCACTCTCCTGAGTTTGAATACTGAGTAAAATCATATAGTATTTGTCCTTTTGTGACTAGTTTATTTTACTTAGCACAGTGACCTCAAGGTTCATCCATGTTGAGGAAAGTGTTGGAAATTCCTTCCTTTTAAAAAAAAAAATCATTTCATTGATTTCATAGAGGAAGTGAGAGGGAGAGATAGAAAGATCAATGATGAGAGAGAATAATAATTGGCTGGCTCCTGCACACCCCACAATGGTGATTGGGTCCATAACCCAGGCATGTGCCTTGACCAGGAATCCAACTGTGATCTCCTGGTTCATAGGTCAACACTCAACCACTGAGCCACATTAGATAATATTCCATTGTATGTATATACCACATTTTGTCCATCTGTTCATTTGATGATAGGCAGTTGGGTTGCTTCTATTTTTGGTTGATTGTGATTAATGTTGCCATGAACATGTGTATATAAATACCCATTTGTGTCCCTGATTTTACTTTTTTTGGTATATACCCAGAGTTGGAATTGTTGGGTCATATGCTAATCTGTTTAATTTTTAAAGAAATCACCATACATTTTATATATTTACTAGCAATGCAAAAGGATTCTAATTTCTCTGCACCCCTACCAACACTTATTTTCTGTTGTTTTGATAATAGCTGTCCAAATGAATGTGAAGTAATTTCAAATATGCTGCATTTTATCTGGCATTTTTCAGTGTTTGTGAATTGAAGATGAGGTAGAGGGTTGTCCACATTAGCTAAATCTGTCTTGTGCTATAACTGCCAAGCCTACCTGTTTGTCTATTTTTTAATTTTTACCTGAGGATATCTTTATTAAATTTTTTTTTTTTTTTGAGAGAGAGAGAGAGAGAGAGAGAGAGGGAGGGAGGATGGGGGAGAGAGAAGAGAGGAAGAAAAGAGAAAAAAAAATGATTGGTTGCCTGCCATGCATACCCTGTCCAGGGATTGAACCTGCAACCTTTTGGTTATGGGACGATGCTCCAATCAACTGCACCACCCAGCCAGGGCTAGACCTATTTATTTATTTTTAATTTTTTTTAATCCTCACCCATGGATATTTTTCCATTGATTTTTAGAGAGTGGAAGAGAGAGGGAAAGACAGAAATATCAATGTGAGAGAAACACATAGATTGGTTGCCTCCTGCATGTGCCTGCCTCAAGGCCTGGGCCAGGAAGAAGCCTGTAACCGAGGTTGGTGTCCTTGACTGGAATTGAACCCAGGACCATTTGGTCTGCAGGCCAATGCTCTATACACAGCCAAATAGGCTAGGGCCTGACCTATCTTTTTTTTTTTTTAATGTAAATTGTTTAACCATTTTTTTTTTCTCTTTTGGAGAGTAGCCAACTTTTAAGTATGTAAAAACTTGATAACCTTTAAAAATAAAAAAGACTATCCTAAGTTTGTTTCATAAATCTCTCAGTTTCAGGAGCCAAGAATCGTTATCCCCCTGTCTGCCATTCTCCTAACAGTTTGTTTCTTACCTGCCTTTTTTTAATACTCCTTTCCATAACAATAACAATTTCTTTGAGATCACTTTATTGGTGTCATCACTATTGTTTTATATTTTGATCCTGTCTAATAGTCATACATTACTACCCTTCCAGCCTCCCACAAACACCACACCATCTCAGGGTTTGGGCTCTTGAACATAATTCAGTTTAGTATCTCTAAGTATTAAAGCCTTGTAACAATCCATTCACTCCTCCTTTACAGCCTCCTATATAATTGTCAAAGAGATGGAGGGGAACAAGGATAGGATCATTAAGGAGATCACCATTGATTCTATAAATAGTCTTTCTTTCCTTATCCTGTTCTAGATTGACGTCTTTAAACATATCAATGAGTAAATCAAGTGCCTCATGAATTAGATTTAATCTTCAGTCATACGACGTTTCCTGGCCAGATTTTTAGGCTCTATAGGAAAGGGACAGAGATGGGAAACTGGAAGATCAGTGTTTTAGTGTTTAGAAGATGAATGGTTTATTGCGTTAGTGAAAAACACATATACTGCTAAGCTATAATATAAAGGATGCCTTGCAATGTAGACTTGATTGTTGGTTTTTGACTATACCGTTACTTTTTTTTTTTTTTTTTTTTTTAAATATATTTTATTGATTTTTTACAGAGAGGAAGGGAGAGTTAGAAACATCGATGAGAGAGAGTCATCGAGCAGCTGCCTCTTGCACACCCCCTACTGGGGATATGCCCACAACTAAGGTACATGCCCTTGGCCGGAATCGAACCCGGGACCCTTCAGTCCCCAAGCCGACGCTCTATCCATTGAGCCAAACCGGTCTCGGCTGACTATACCGTTACTTATTTCATAAATATTAGCCTTTTTTTTAGAAAGGAGGCCTGGGGACCTGAGTTGGAGCCTTTACTGAGGGGCATATGTTTGAGGACAGAGAGAGAGGGGAAGTACCAGAATTCAGATATTTTTCCAGAAACCACAGACGCTAAGAATGATTTTCCCACGATCTGACTTGCCATCTTCTTCATGTTCAGCAGAGGGCTTGACACTACAGAACTGAGCCGATGACAGCTACAATGAGCAATGACCACACTCTTGCATTCTGAGACTTGCTTAACATTTCTCAAGTGCTTAGTCCAAGAATCAGCTGGCATAGCCCTATGTCTGCTCATTTTCTGTGCCAGGATGCAGCCAAGTGTCTTGTTGGACAGATAGCCCGTGGGCCTGAACCTGGCTCCTGTCCATGCCTTGGAGATTATTAATCTAAATGTGGAGGTTGAGGATCGGGCTTGGGCCATATGGGTGCCTGGCAGGTGCTTCACAAAAGCTCAAGATTCATAAGGTAAGGCTTCGAAAGCAGTGAGCTTAAAATGATCTTTTCTGTTACCTCTTGCTTCTGTAGGCCTGGCACTGTATACAAGGACCATTTTGTTATGTAGCATTTGTCAGTGGCGGTGCTGTTGACATAGCATAGACTATACCATCCATTGTAGGATGTTTTGCTTTCCTGGCACCCCTGTTCCTTGTGACAGCCAGGAATGCAGTTGCATTTCGAGATGTCCTCTGGAAGATGGGACCACTGAAAGGAAACCTTGTTCAGGAATCTCCCCACTTGTTACTTGGTTCATTGTTGTCATTAAACTTAGCCTCAGGAAGTATTCTATTCTGCCTTACGCCCAACCCAGGTCAGAGAATATGAAGGGCTCTCCTATGGGAAGGGAAACCTCTTCTGTCCTGGAGCTGTCTTTGTTGAGTGGGGTCGAGCTGGCAGTTAAGTATGCTGGCTCTGGAGCCACAGTGTTCCATCTCTGCCACCTATTAGTGGTGATCTGGGGCCAGCCTATCTTACAGGATTGCCGAGAAGATAGTATATGAAATTGCTTCACAAGTGCTTGTTCCATACTTTGTGCTTAACAAGAATTTAGCTGTTGTTATTTTTATTACCATCAGTGGTATGCATCAGAGGTTAGTCTGTGACGTAAGTTGAGTGAAATCAACTAGTGACAATAGCCAGGAAACTAAAGAAGTCTCAACATTGCTTTGAATGTGGGATCAGACTTGTGCTGCCTGGAGGCAGGCTGGATGCTTGAGAGTGTGCCAAATGAGTGTGTGCTTTCCTGTCCCCCTCTTTGACGTGCTCTCAATTTTTACTCCAAAATGTGACTGATGAAACCTGTGCGGTTTTGATGGGGGCGGAGGGCTAGTGTTGCTGAAAAGCCACAAGGCTTGGAAAAGCCATTTTCCTTACAGTGCAGGGAAAAGCACTGCCTGACGTGAGCTGAGGGCATTTCCTGTCACT